GTTGAATGTCAATAGGGAAAAGAGATTTCCCTTTAAAACCAGGTACTTACCTTATCCCAATTATAATGTAACATGTCAAGAATCAACAAGAAGTATAACTTAATGACTATTTATTGTTGAACAGAATAAGAATTATTCTGTAAAGGAATATTTGCATACTTAAATAGTTCTAAAGCATTACTGGTTATATATTTTTAAATTCTTAACAAAAAATGTGAAGCGAATAGATTGAAAGTTTTATATAAAGATGCTGATGAGCACAATAGATTCCCCTTATTGCATATAAAATATAGTAATGTTAATGCAGTATTTAATCAGGAAATGAAGTATTTAAACAAAAGCAGAATTTGTAAAGTATAAAGAAGTTAGAGTTAGTTATGCACACGAGATCATAGGCTCTTCCCTTTTTATAGATGCCAACCATGTACTTGGATACTTGAATAGATGTTCAGATGTCCTAGTGCCCTTGGACATAAATGGGCTCTGTATGGGCCAGCTCCTGGAGCTGTTCTCAGCTGATAAATCCTTCCCAGAGCTTGAGTATGTTAGATCTGGACCCAGCCTCTTACATGAAAGCCCACCTGGCGCTCTGGACTTGTCGATCCTTCCCAGTCAGCACCTGCAGTGTTGTCAGTTTCTTAAATGGACGTTCTGGGCCCACGTAAATCCAAACCCTGTGTCCTTTAAGCCACCCAAAGTTCAGAAGGATTAAGAACACCTCTGCTAATAATGATCATGCTTAATGTAAAATATTACTTTGCCTTTTTGCATTCTCGTCTCAGTCTTTCTGTTACTTCTTTGATTTCCTTTTTTTTTAGGATCTAGTTTAACATACACAGTGTACATACTGTTATGCAGAGAATAGGATCTAAAATGCTGAGATATGGGATTGCCTTGTGAATGGTAACCACTTCCTCCTTACTAAGACTGCCGTTTGCATACAGATTTCCCCCTCGGACTAAAGCATCTTTCCTCATTTTTCTTATCCTTTTAATTATTATCCATTTAATATTGTATAAACCACATAGGAGAAAACAGATAAGGCAGTATTAATTTCAGCAAAACCTCGATGCATTTTTAATGTTGTTATTGACAGGTGACAATGAGGCCTTGTTTGTGCCTTCAAAGTAGAGAAATAGTTTTGCTTTTTATGATGGGAGTGAAAGATGAGATACTGGAAACCTGAGTGGGAAATAAATCGTAAATTCTTATTATGTACCATGTTACAACTAAAACTTTATTCTTCCACCTATGATTAATTTTATAATATTAATTTAATTTTATAATATTAAAGAAATCTCATCCAGTCTGCCTAAACATTATACTGTTTTCATTTTGGTGTATTTTCCATGTCTATTTATCTGCATACTTACAACCATATTATACATGTAATTTAGAATTCTGGGGTAGAGAGAAGTTTTTCCACTTAACATATTAAAAAACCAAACCCATTGCTGTCAAGTTGATTCTAACCCATAGAGACCCTATGGGACAGAGTAGAACTGTCCCATAGGGTTTCCAGGGCTGTAATCTTTACAGAAGCAGACTGCCACATCTTTCTCCCGCAGGGTGGCTGGTGGGTTCAAACCTCTGACCTTTTGATTAGCAGCCAAGCGCATAAACCACTGCACCACCAGGGTTCCTTTAACATTATATAGCAAACATAGTTCCCTCACTAATGACCTTTTTGTCCATTAGCTATATCCAAGAAGATATACAATCCGGAGGAAATTGGTCTGCCTTTTGATGTGATTATTTTATAATTACATCTCCTTTAAAGTGGTCACATTGGATACTAAAGTTCACAATACCAGATTAATTCTCTCTTCCCGTATTAGGTTCTGTTCTGGGCACATAAGAAAAAATACAATAGAATATTGGTTTCTCAAGATGATAATGAGTATTATAATATTGGGGTTCTTCAGTGAGGGTACCCAGCCCTTTTCTGGTTTTCCCTACAGTACCTGGTCTTCCTTGAAGTCTAGAATACTTGGGTCTACGGGTATGGAGAACTCTTCATTTATTTATTTATTTTTTAATATTTTATTGTACTTCAGGTGAAGGCTTACAGAACAAATAGTTTCTCGTGAAACAGT